AATCTTAGCGGGTAATAGACCTATATAAGTTGATTGTGTTAAATCTTCGCCTAACCCAAATTGTAAAAACAAGGGTCTCTGTGGTACCACGGCTCGTCGGGGATTTCTGTTTGGTTTTGCGTAAAATTTATCTTCAGGTCATTTGGAGTCACCTCTTTTGTTTTCTTCTTACATTTGAAGAATTATAGGCCTCTATACTGGCCATTGCCCTCTGAACTACCATCTAAAGAAAATAGGCACCGAGGAAGCTTGTTAGGCAATACTACCCGCCACAACTGCCCTTAAGATCCCAATCATTCAAAAACTAATTCCTCTAAAATTTACCAAGTAGTACAGTAAACTCTTCCATCACCCAATTGTCTTGTGATCGTTGACTAAAAGGCGTCTTAAGTTCATTTTTTATGAATCCTCTGACATGTTGTAATTTTAAATTGCAGATGGCAATAAAAAGTCTTTATTTAAAAAAAAAAAGCTGTGCCTTCCCTTGTGATTAAGATATTTTGTACTGAAAAATATTGACTTCTGGGAAAGACAACTATTAAATTCAACAAGCTTGACAGACCACTTGAGTTTTCAAATGTTTTTATCCTATTCTCTCTATCTATCTATCTGTATCTCACAATGGGTGCTTGTATGTGCATGTTTTTTTCCTGCCAACTGTAACCAAGCACCAATTTCAATGCTCAAATACAAAGGAATCGGTCCTCCGGGCAGGATAGGATAATGAGCAGTTTGTGCTCAATCGTAGCACTCTCTCTCTCTCTCTCTCTCTCTCTCTCTCTCTCTCTCTCTCTCTCTCTCTCTTTCTGTTTGTCTGTCTCTGCCTCTACGATTCTCTCTTTCTCTCTCTATCTCTCTCTTTTCTTTCTTTCTGTTTGTTATCCTGTCTCTGTCTCTCCTCTTCTNTCTCTCTCTCTCTCTCTCTCTCTCTCTCCCTTTCTCTCTAATTTACTTATTATAAATACTCTCTCCCTCTCTCTCTTTTACTTATTATTGTCTGCCTCTTTCTCTCTCTTTCATGTTGTAATTTTAAATTGCAGATGGCAATAAAAAGTATTCATTTTTTAAAAAGCTATGACTCCCCTTGTTATTAAGATATTTTCAATTTCTGCTGAAAATACTGCATCAATAGACTTTGAAGGTAAACTTAACTACTGAATTCAACTAGCAAGTAGATAAACCACATGATTTTTCAAATATTTTTATATTAGCTTTTGTCTTGTGTGGTTTTTAATTTTTGTGGCTTGAGGGTCCGTCGGCCTGAAAATGATCAGCGCTGATTCTACAATTGTCCTATTGCAATAAAACCAACTAAAATCGACTAACGAACGCTTTCAACTTCCAAATGTCTATCTATAAATAAAATAACATTTGTATATCCGTTTATTTGTTTATTTTTTTAATCTATGCAGCGAACTACGTTCCGACATAATACTGGATAATAAAAACTTCGTAAGAACTGTTCATTTCTAACAATAACTTGGAGTTTTTGCGTGGAAAATGGATTTAATTAAAAACAAATATGTAATCCAATGATTATTCTCTCATCATTAAACCGAGCTAAAACTTTTTTTAAGCTTGAACTTAGCTAACAGAGTTGCTAATTTAATTGTAACGCAAAGAGTGAATCTAAATAATGACTGTATTATTTTTAAGGCTAACCGCAGTTTCGAAATCAAGGTTGTAAATGAAATTATGCGGGGCCCATCAGGAAATTTAGCAAGGATTTTAGCGTGCACTACAAGAGGAAATGATTAGGATCATTAGGCGTACAACTGACATTTCATAGCGCCTAAGGGAAGAGATTTTTATGTATATAAAAAAATAAAAAAAAAGCCAATGTCGTCATTTATATACTTGTACTGGACATGTTCTGTGAATCTTTGACCTTTCGTAATTTGTAATCAACAGGAAATTTCAACAAATGTGAATATAAAACTTACAGGGAAGATTTTGTATTGTATTGTGTAACTATTGTATGTAACATTCTATTTTGTCGATATGAAAGGTTAGAACGTAGAATTCAGTCGAGACAAACCACAATGTACGTTTATCCGTGTGTATTCCTTCCAACTGTACCCAAGGTGAATGGGTCTTTATTTTCAGCATTTTCACACGCAAATACAAAGGAATCGGTTCTCCGGCCTGGATAGGGAGTAGTTTGAGCTCAATCTAAATACTCTCAATTTCTCTCTCTGTCTGTCTGTCTCTCTCTCTCTCTCTTTCTCTCTCTCTCACACACACACTCTCTCTCTCTCTTTCTTTTTCTCTTATAATCATTACGACTGTTTCTTTCTTCCTTTCTCCTCTTTTTTCTCTTCTCTCTCACCCTTTCTCTTTACTCTCTTTCTATTTGTCTCCTTGTTCCTCTCTCTATCTCTCTATCTCTTCTTCTCTTTTTCTCTTATAATTATTACAACTCTCTTTCTTTCTCCCCTCTCTCCGCTCTCTCTGTTCTTTCAGTCTTTCTTTCTTTCAGTATGTCTCCCTGTTCCTGTCGCTCCGTCTCTCTCTCTCTCTCTCTCTCTCTCTCTCTCTCTCTCTCTCCCCCTACCTCTCACTTTCTCTTTCTCTTTTCACTCTCTAACTTATTACTGCCTGTCTCTTTCTTCCGCTCTTCTCTCGCTTTTACTTATTATTGTCTGTCTCTTTCTCTCCCTCCTCTCTGTTTTACTTATTGCTGTCGCTCTTCTTCTTTCTATCGTCTCACTCTCTGTCTTTTCTTTCTTCCTTTCTGTTTGTCTACCTCTTCCTGTCTTTCCGACTCTCTCTCTCTCTCTCGCTCTCTCTCTTCTTCGTCTTCTTCTACTACTTCTTCTTTCTCTTTTATTTATTTATTACTCTTTTATTTATTTTATTTATTTATTACTCTCCCTCTTTTCTTTCTTTCTATTTGGTTTCTTTCTCTCTCTCTATCTATCTATCTATCTATCTATCTATCTATCTATCTATCTATCTCTATCTATCTATCTATCTATCTCTCTATCTATATCTTGCTGAACTCACAAAATAATTGAGTCATCCAAGTGTTTGTGACACTGATGAATGAATATCTGACATGTGTTTGTGTAGCAGTCGTTCTTAAGACAAAACAAACAAAAAATCTTCAGCTCGGTACTTTATTTTTTCATCGTTATAACATGTGTCGACTTAAGGATGTTGAAATTTTGACAAAACGAATTTTTTCGCAGCCCCCTTCGTCGTCCGATTAATTTATGTCTTAAGGCCGCTTAAAATTACACTTCTCTTAATCCATTAATTGCCGTCTATTAGAAGAATGTCTCTATAAGGGGTAATTCAATTATTTTATTATTATTAACGAAAAACTGTTCATTAGTGTAACTATTACAGTTTTTCGTTTACTTTATTTGTTTATTACGTAACGTTTATTAGTTTATTTTATTACGTAACTAGGTCAAAATCCGAAATGCTATTGGAGATACTAAGAGTTATTTCATTTGTCGATCTACTCAGAATTTTGGTCTTTTAAGGACCAAAGTGATCGGTAACGACCAAATTACAGGTTCATCACACCGCAGGCATCACATGGAAAAATCTGACAAACTAACAGAAAATACTCGACTCTGGATGTCAGGTAAGATGTGCTCCTATGTATTAGAAATACACTTTGAATAAATATCAGAGCTGGAAAATTGAAACTCTTCGCATAAAACATCTGAGGCTAATTTGCCTGGGTTTTTAACTTCACAAGGAGACTGCTTTCACGAATATTGGAAAACATCGTATAACATACGTTTTGCGGTTGGAAAAACAATTTGGATTATGTGATTCTTGGCTTTTTCTAACGCCTCTAACAATCCCATTGGAAACGGATTACAGTCCGATAGCCACCGTTTCCAAAAGAAACAAAATTTGAAAATTCAAAATCGACTTAGAAAAAAGGGTGCAAGTCTATCGCCAAAGCATTTTAAACGTCTAAAATCGCGTGATATCATCAGAAAAATGGCATAACGGAAACGGCAATTAGATTGCAACAATAGTAAATTACAATCACCATTTGACAATTAATGAGGGGGATACAAAATATGCATCCGGTTTAAACCAACAAATTACAGATAAAATTTAATAAACATTGTAAAAAATCTTAATAAATGGAATTGTTACTGTTACAGAGGTTCGCTGTAAACTGACTTTATGCCTGATTTTTTAATATAAAATTATAACTTGTTGAAAACATAATTTTGAAAAAAATCCAATTAAGAAGCTTCTCAAGGCAGAAGTAATTAGAACACCTCAGCTCTAAAAGCATAAGAAAAGAACAGGCTAAAAAATTGTGCTAAGATGATAGTGATACTAAGATCATAAAATTTGATCTTCAGCAATGTTTATTACCGTTATTATCAGTTGAAAGAAACCACAATGGCTGCTTGTATGTGCGTGTTTTTTCCTTCCAACTGTAACCAAGCACCAATTTCAATGCTCAAATACAAAGGAATCGGTCCTCCGGGCAGGATAGGATAATGAGCAGTTTGGGCTTAATCTTAATTCTCTCTCTCTCTCTCTCTCTCTCTCTCTCTCTCTCTCTCTCTATCTATCTATCTATCTATCTCTTTCCGTTTATCTGTCTGTCTCTGCCTTTCCGTCTCTATGTCTCCTACCTATTATACAGTATACTTTTTTCTTTATTTCTTTTTTTAAATTCCATATTTTATGTGTTAAACATTTGTGTTGTTATTCAGACCTGCGTTCTCAACCATCTAACACCTCAGAATTGTATTTATATTTTCACTAGGAGATCATTGTTGCCAAGAATAATGTTTCTCGCAAATACACTTAACATTTATACCAGTTCTTCCACCCCAAGTTAGAGAGTTTATAAATGACTAACTCCAGTAACGAGTGAGAGTCGAGTTAGCACAATAAATCCCTGTGAAAGCAATGTAAGTGCTAGTTGTGACTCCATCGCTAAGAATGAAGTAAATAAAATTGAAGGTAATACATATTTTACTTATAAACTTGGTGTATGAAATCATACTTACCACTAATCGGTCCAAAAATTGTAAATGATAAGATCATTATGAGTAGTACGCGAAGTCTAAGATTTCCCGGCCTCTTCTTAAACGCGACGCGGAAAGTGTCCGTGACGTGCGTAGGGTTCAGAAACTCTTTGCAGAAACCATGTTGGAGTTTATTCGGCGTTTTGGCCTCTTTGAGTCGCATTTGGCCGTAAATCAGTCCTAGGAAATACAGGACGGCGACAGTGGAAAATACACCGTAGAAACCTATCAACTGGTAAAGATACCCGCTGAGGATGATTCCGACCGGGGCCGCGATAGACACGAAGACATTGACTATCCCGAGGCGTACGGTTCTCATTTCCAGGGTCGTTATGTCTCCCATAAAACTAAAAACGGCCATAAACATGGTCGTCCATCCGCCGGTCAGAGCTGGAAAAAGGGCTTCGATGACACCGGCCACTTCCATAGGCCATTCGTAGTAATAATAAGTGCACAACAGCAAACCGACGACTGTGAACAGTTCGCCGACTATCGGCAGCAGCATAAACGGCTTCCTTCTCCCGCTGCGGTCGCTAAATGAGCCAAAGAACAAAATTAAAACCGCCGGCAGGGAACTTCTCAAAATGGACTGCCAGTAATTCATAGCCACGACGATTTCCTGAATTTTTTCTTCTTCCATTTCGATACCGGTGGAATTCCTGGCAGAATGCGCGTCACACACGGAATCGTTGTAGTGCAAATTTACCCTGCACGCCTTTTCTAAGTTTAAATTCATTATTGTCAGAGCAGCGAGAACATTAGGAAGTAAGTAACAACATAAAATCGGCTCGACAGTTATGTTAGCGATTACGTGTTTTAACTTTCCTTTCCAAGACAAACCGCTCCATTGTCCGGTATTTTCGTTCGCAGCGTCCGTCATTTTTTCCACCGCCATAAGGTACACAAAGAAATAACTCGACTATTTATGAGTTGAATACATAATTTAAACGGATTTCAAATAGTGTCCTACTACATATTTTTAATGTCGGATCGGTGTGAATTTACCAACGCCGAAAGTACGCGAACTATTCGATTGTTTAGCTACCCGGAGATCCTTTTGGCATGGGGATCGGAGTGAGACTGAGAAGAGAAGAGGAAGCCACTTTAAAAATTCCACCAACAAATGTGACCTTGAACTACCAGGAGGAATGGGGCACAGAACATGCACGTCGTCCTACAAGACGAATCTTATCCAGGGTTAATTTTATTTATAAAATGCATAATGCATTCTTTGTTGCAACTGCCATTTTCAAAGTAAAGGCCTAACATCCCTTAATACTAAATTTTTTGTAAAACGCTCCCAAAAGGGCATTTTGCAAAATTTGTAGTAAAACATTAAAGTTAAGCCTTCAGTCAAAAATGTCTAGTTTCTCTCCCCTTTTCTAATTGACGGATGGCTAATAAACCCCATTCCCTAATGCTAATATTTTTGTAAAACGCTCCGAAAGACGGTTTCTGGGAGAATTTTCTTTGTAAATCGGTTTTGTAAAAATATTGAGCTTATCAATAGTCAACGTTTTTCGGTTTCACGCAATCTTCAGTGAGCCTTTGTAAACGTTATTGTTCCTTTCTTTGTCGTAATTCAATTTGTATTTACCAACCAGGTCCTTCGAGTGCCACCGTCTTCCGATCCGGCCTATCGAAGCTGCTACTTTTTTAAATCGTTTTTATTGTACTTTTAGTGTGTGGGGGGGCGGACGGCGGTGGTTAGGTCCGGAGGATGGGACATCCCGTCCTTAGCCAACTTCAGATCTGTGTACAGCTTAGGTATACAACAACCAGAGTTTGGCCAAGACGTTCCAGCTCCGTGGTATCTCTCCAGGAAGAGAACAAGGAGAGGGCCGACGTTCAACAACAACGGGGTTCAGAGGGAAATGTCTTCTTATGTTATTTTCCATTATTAATGACATTTGATTTGTTTCAAATGTTATTTCCTTTCAATGAACATAAAGACAGTGTTAAATTAATAAAGAATAAATGTACACGTCTCAAAATTTGTTGATATTGTAGAGGCGAACCGAGGGAAACGCACTTTTATTTTATTTATTTTTTTTAATTCACATTTGATGTGTTTCAAATGTTATTTTCTTCATGGAGTAAGACAGAGTAATTAGAAAGGAACTGAATAAAGAATTAAAATTATTGAATTTGAGTAGAGGAACAGTGGGAAATGCACTCTTTTTCTATTATTTATTATCATCGATTTTTGAAAAATTAGCTGATTTCAATGAAAGGACCATTTGAAAATACTTTTTTCCCTATTTATTATTATTATTATTTGATGTGTTTCAATTGTTATTTCTATTCAATGAACGTAAAGACTGAGTTACTAGAAAATAAACAGTCAAAATTAGTTGATTTCAAGAGAGGAACATATAAGGAAATGCACTTTGTTTGCTATTATTTATTATTATTGACATTCTGTTTCAAATGTTAATTCCAACTATCAGTGGAAATGAACTGCCTTTTGCTGTATTTCTTAATAATAAATGAACAAGGTATCAAAATTAGTTGATTTCAAGGAGTCGATAAGGAGAGAAAAGAATAATAAATGAACAAATTATCAAAATTAGTTGATGTCAAGGAGAGGAATATTCCAAAATACACTTTTTGCTATTTTTTTTATTACTATTGACATTTGATGTATTTTACATCTTAATTCTATGCAAAAACCATAAAGGCAGAGATAGTAAGGAATTCCATTTAATGATCATGACCAAGTGGAAAAGGAGAAAAATGAATAATCAATTAACAAAATATCCAAATTACATGATTTAATTGGGAGGACCATTGAGAAATGCTCTTTTTTTGCTAACTTTTATTATTATTGACATTTGATGCGTTTCAATTTTCAAATGTTAATTCGATCAAACGAACATAAATACAGTTGACAAGAAGAGAAATGAATTGAAGCGTCAAAATTATCTGATCTCATAGTGGCTAACAGTGGAAATGAAGAGCCTTTTCCTTTTTTTCTTTGTTATTCACCTTTCAATTGTTCCAAACATTATTTCCTTATAATGAACGTAAAGACAGACTTTGTATAGAATGAAATGAATAATAAATTAACAAAGTGTCATTATTCATTTCTCTCATATCCACTCTCTTTTTGATCATTCAATGGAATTAATATTTGAAAACCATTGAAAGTCAGAAATAATATTTTTTTAAAAATAGCAAAAAATTGCATTTCCCGATGTTCCTCTCCTTGAAATCAACTAATTTTGACATTTTGTTAATTTACTATTCACTTCATTCTACACAAAGTCTGTCTATGTTCATTAAATGGAATTAATATTTGAAACACATCAAATTTCAATAATAATAAAAAATAGCAAAAACGTGCAAACTTTGGTAAATTATTATTCATTTTTCTCATTGTCTCTCTCTTTGTTTGTTGAATGGAATTAATATTTCAAACACATCAAATGTCAATAGTAATAAATAAATAAAAAGAAGCAAAAAGTGCATTTCCCAATATTCCTCTCCTTAAATGAACTTATTTTGACATTCTATTGATTTATTATTCATTTCCTTCCTAACTATCTCTGCCTTTATGGTCGTTAAATGGAATTAAGATTTGAAACACATCAAATGTCAATAGTAATAAAAGAAATAGCAAAAAGTGTAAACTGTAACTGATATGGGACTAACTGTCAAGTGTCAACTCACTTACTACTGTCAACTCGCTGATTGTCCCAATCGACATTAAGCTCAAGGAGTTGACTGAAAATTACCAAGGATTTACAAATAAAAATCGACAATATGAACCAGATGTGAGCTTGCCGATGGAACATTGGATTCATCTCGCAGAAGTTGTCAACCAACTCGGTGAAGAAATTGAAGATCCTGATGTAGCTGGGGGACAGGAGCCGATTGGAAGATATAGTAGGATGTGCAGCTTTTATGCAAACAACCAAGCTGAGCACCTGGCCAATAAATAATGCAGTTCAATGGTGTTACAGAGAGTATATAATGGTAAAGCAATAAATACGGGAAATAAAGTTTACTCGTTATTGAAACAAGACCATAAAAATTGCAAACCAGTAATTGGAGAATTAGAAGATGATCGTGAACCCTAAGAAATGAGATGCCTTTCAAAGAGTAGGCCAATGGCCGGGTTAAAAGGAAACTAGGAAGCAGACCAATTAGCAAAAGATGAAACAAGACTAATCACGTTTGTAAAGACTCCACTAACATTTATAAAAAAGACAAATAAGGCCAAAAGCATAGAACAGTGGCAAAGAGTTTGTTCTACAATAAATGATGATAGTGTCACAAGGCGATATATCCCAAATATAAGGACAAGAATGAAAATCATGGTGAATCACACATAAAAGGTGACAATGGCTCTAACAGTGGGTGACTACACTTTTGGTACCAACGACTTTTTGCAAACCTCCCCAGCGGGCTCTACATGGGGCTTTTTCCCCTGGGCAACTATTAGGTACACCTTATGGCCCTTCCATTTTGCATGTCTTGAGTTTTTCTTTGGGCGGGATTCTCGAGCGACTTTTCTTCACCTCTTACATATCCTCTTCTAGTTGTTCTGTACAATTAATACAATAATATTTACATAATTAATTATTAATTAGTTGCTCAACTAATTAGATATTCAAAATATAATCTTCTCGTGGCCTTTTTAAAAGACTAAACAATTATCGAACCCCGTGTGGATTTACTGAAAGTTCTGAATACAAAACAAAATTGCGATTACAATTTTAAAAAAGTAATAGAATATAATACAATGAAATCTTTTAAAACAAGTTATTCTTTCTGAAGGTCTTTTTTTCTTTGAAAAATAGTCTTCACTGGAATATTAAGAACTATTATACTACCAGAATGTTACGTTTAGTAATGTTCTACCTACACACTATTAGACTTGTTTTTCTTACCACAACAAGTATAGTCTCAAAGTGAACATTTTTATTTACTACATATTAATTCATTTATGTGTAATGGCCTAATTGGCCATATTAATTATTTCAATTATTTATTCTTTTTATGTAAGGTCTTGGTTGAGTTGAAAATGTTAGTGTCACAAGCAGGATTCGAACCCACAACTTTTGATTCAATACACCATTTTTATCTACTGTAGCTTCTTACCCAGATATCTGGCCTCGTTTTGCTTTCAGACATCCTTTTCAATTTGATTTGTTCCACGTGGATCAATTTCCTTTTATTGTTGATTTATAAACCTTTTAAATATTTATTGCCGAGAAATCACCGTTTAACGTTTTGTTGAGATTTGAGAGAACTCTTTTTAAATGAAATAATAAAAATATTTAGTTTTTAAATGTTGATAATGGTTTATAATCTAAACTAGTTTTATCACATACCACTACTCTGCATTAAAAATATTGTATCTTTATTATTTTTTTTTATGTTTTTAAGTCGAAAACACAAAAGATGCTTACATCCAGTTCTCCTAACCAGTACTCTTCCTCGGAGTTTTTAATAGTCACAATCAAATCTGGGGAAGAATTCACTGTGATAATATCACACACCCACAAGAAAAGCGGCACAACTCAAAAAAAGAAAATTTTACAGGAAAGACATAGGGAATTTTACTTATTTTTAACTTATGTATTAAGTACTCGCAATTACGGTTGTTGGCAAAAAAACAGCCATGATTCAGTATTGTCTTTCGTTTGTCCAAGACTTAAGTGAAAAGGCAAAATTTTAAAAATCCAACTGTACTACCCCTTTTTGTGTTGTGACACTTTTATTGCATACATTGGCTCTCAGTAATTTAAGTTAGTTTGTTTGCTTTAACAATAAAGGTGGTCAATGAATGACTGTAAGGGTAATAAATTCTCTGTGATAATAACAGACAACATACAAACCTAACATACGAGCATAAATATCCATAAGCATAAATATCCATAAGCATAAATAATCCATAGCATAAATATAAAGTTTTACTAAGATTATTTTTGAACCCAAATTAATGTGCTTTCCTCCTGGAGTAAGGGCTAATTACTTATTGAAAATACAAAATTAATTAATGAAATAAAGGTTTTATTTATTATTAAACATAGTGTAATTAAAACATTCAAAAATCGTTGAAACTATAAAATAATGT